CTGACATTTTTTGCAATGCATCGCATTTTTGATGCCTTGCTTTCTTTCGACAAGGAAGTTGTCACATCATCCTGGTCATTTGCAAGACAGACTGTGTCTTCATTTTCACAATTACTTTCATTTTTATCAAATTTCTTCGTCCTTCAGCAAATATTTCTATCAGTCATCAATGAACAGGGCTAGTTTTCGAGCTGTGATGCAGGAGCGTCGTCGTCGTTAAGCATCTTGTCTGAACAAAACCAACCGTAACGCCCGCCACTTGGAGGTGCAACATCGCCTTTGTTTGTTTATTATACGGCGAGTGGAGTTGGACATCTAGTAGTAGTATATATTTACGATTATATATTACAGTTAAATTATCGAAGACTTCACAAAGGCATCGATGGTTAAACCCCAAAGCTGAACTTGCATAGGAACTAGCAATGTGGCAGATTCGTTATGACATCATTGTTAACCTCACCAATGGCTAATCAGAAAGATGTCAACGGGGGTGGCAACAATTTTAATTTTAGCAGCCGCTCAGACATAAGCTAGCTACCCCCCCTAACATTTCAACATTTTTTAAATATCATTTTGCGGCATTTGCAGTGAGACATAAATTCCTACGCCTTTTCCAACACCATTTTACCATTTTACTCTATTCTTGAACGATTTACTAAAAATTGACTTTTCCTGAACTGCTTTCAATAATCCTTTCACCAAATGATAGAACCGAAATATATGGAAATGCGCGCTTGTATACCTTGGATAACTTCGACAGCGAAGTGGATAAGTTCTTTAAGATAGGATAGGATTTACATATTTATCCAAGAAGAGGAAAGCCGATAAGACGGCTTAACCATATGGTGAACCACGGCCTCTCGTCCGGTTACCATTCCATGTCGGGTATTGGTTAGTTAGTTATTTGTTTTCAGAAGCATGGACTTGATGGTGGAGAAAGCCGTAACCGCCCAGCGCTTAGCACGATGAGCCATAGCGCCGCGCGTAGATATTGTTAGATATCATTGGCTGCTTCTATCCAGCCTCGTTCGGAGCAAAAGCCACGAGTAAGCGTCGTAGTACGTCTTTATACAAAGGAAAATTTGGCACCCCCAATACACAACACTGTGTAATGTGCGTAAGCTTGGCAAATGTATTATATCTACGTGTTCTAAACATCATTCAAAGATTTAGCCAATTTCCCATACTTCCGTCAGTTCGTTGTGATGTTTTATGTTCGTTTTTAGAGGAAATCGATATTGTTGTTGTTCCCAGATGTCTACCTAGATTTCTTGTTAGCTCTCGATATATTCGCTATTGAAATCAATTATTCTATTTTGAAGTTTCTTTTTTCGTTGGTTAGCTCGTATAGTGTCTGAAATGACAAAAATCCATGCAATAACAGACAAAAAGTCATTTTATTTAGCTTTGAATGTGTTTATTGACAACTTTCAATGTATTTCTGAGTTTTATTGTTTTCATCGAAAGTGTCCTTTAAACAGTTTCTGAACTGGCAAACTAATGTTTACACCATATCTTCAGGAAATTTGCTATGTTGCATTTTCGAACAAATATCCGATTTTAGGAAAACGCCTGATTTACGCAAAAACGAAAATTGAGTTTCATTTTATGTCATTTTGCCTAGGTAACTCATCACGCTATAGTGTGGGAGCAATTTTGTGTTTAAAATATGTTATTTTCAACTAATAGCTAATTTACTCGAACGTGGTATCATGGTGTTGTTCGCGCTCATCATTGAACAAACGTCCTCGGAGGTTCTGTCTTGAATGGATTATTAGACTAGAAACCAAAACGTGTATATATATATATATATCAAGTAGAAATATTTCACAAAAATGGACGGTTACAAAATACGCCAGCCTCATCCATTTCATCAATGACGGAAGACGTGTATTGATATAAAACCTGATAATTATTATGCAAATGCTGTTTGTCGTTATTCTTCATTTCAACCTTTAATGTTAAATCTGTATCTACCTATTTCATTTAAGCTTGGGTTGTTAAATCTATAAAAGTATTTATTCCTATTCCTAATACTTTATCACGGCCTGCACAAACAATCGCCCATTGTATACGTGGTGAAAGAAGATTCGTGGTGAAAATACGTTATCACGGCTTGCCCAAACAATCGCCCATTGTATACGTGGTGAAAAGATTTCGTGAAAAAATTAATTTCGTTGCTTCAATATGTTTTACAATGTATATATGTATGGCGAAAGGGGAAGCACAGTAGAAAACTTATATCTTACACGATCCTTGTAATAAATTTATGTTGTTACTATGTCATTGTTCTCCACCTCACGCGACGTAAGAGCATACACAATAAAATTTTATTAAAAATTCGAATAGGGCCTAAATAGTAGATATCGAAAGGAATTATAGGGCAATTAACATTACCTTGAATTTACTTAGGAATCTATTTTTCCCGTTTTAATGGGCTGGTTTTCATACAATGTAACATCTTTTCTTTACCGTCACGAACAATGTAGAGTAATCTAAATCTTTGCTGATACCAGAATCAAAAACAACGATCTGCTTGTTATCAAGTTTGGCGCAGATGTTTAGCTAAATTTAAAATAAAGGGGCAGGCAATAATATACCACTGTAGGTATAAACACGAGTGTTACATACCAGAATCAAGAATGAGAAAAATGACAAGTTTTCGAATATCATATACGCGAATGATGCTGTACTGGGATGACCACCTGGTGATATTCAGCGTGTAACTTCATTTACGATGAACGAACCAAAACGCTTATAATCAATACCGAATCTTAAACTGTTGTGCTCGGCGATTTGAATAATTTTCATAATCCTAGTTTTTGAAACATATACATATACAACGTTCCTGTTTTCAGTTCATACACCGTGATTTAACATTCTGACCTCATTCAAATAGAATCAGTCGGTGAAGCAAAATGACTTTTTGTATCTTGATAGTGCTATTTTTTTCAGAAGTACTGTATATATTGATATACTGTATCAAACATTATGGAGATATATTTGACTGAAATTGCTAAGGATGGGTCTTTTATCCTGCGTATGGATGTAGTAGAAGAGCTTTTAAGTGCAGCTAGAGCCGATGCAATTGCATTCGTGGCAATCGTAGGACCACCAAGAGGCGGAAAATTTATGATTGCTAAAGCATGTTCAGCTTATCTGGAACGACCAAAGCAGGTTTATTTCAATTAGTGTTTATTCCAAAACTTTTTTTTATCACAGTCCCTCATTCTACTAACTTATTAACCACATAGGACAAGCGGCAACATTTTAAGCCAGGTGTATCAGGTGATAGCAACATACGAATATAAAAAATTATACTAAAATGATATGCAATATTGCGGGTTGCAAAAGAGTGGTGAAAAATAACTTGATATTTTTAAATGCCAATCCCTCCAAATTTACCGCGTGTAGAGAGCTAATGGCAAGTGTGATAAAACGTTATAATATATTAACATGATATTATTATAATAGATTATTCAAAGCTTTGAGTTACAAATGACAGCATTATAATATCTGGAAATGTGAATAACGAAAGTGGGTTGTGGAAATATAACAATTAGTTTGATATGTTATGGGCATTTCATAAGAAAGACAAATTTGGCCAGCTATGTCTTTACAGTATTACAGATTTTTCTATTGTCTTCAATATTAGGACCCAGCAAAAACCGAATGTATTCCACTTTAGATGGAACTGAGAGACCAAGACATATTTGATTACAATGCAATCAGAGACCACGACGATGGTTATATTCTTGCACTTAGAAGAACAGTGGATTTTAAGCACGTAAGTGGACTTTAGGAGTGGACACAAAATGTTTAAAGTGCTACCTAATTCAACCACTTTTCATCGATTTAAATAAGATAGTAATACAAATGTGTGTTAGTGTTGGAAATCTTGTAATTTATATGTTGGAGTTTCCCAGGCGTTTTCTAGACGCCATTGCTTCTGTACTATACAGCCAACAATATTTCAGTTAGGCCTGTCGAAGGTTTCATGACGGTGCTTTTGATTTTTTGGACCTCCAGAAGTGTGTGCACCAAGATGGCGCTCAACCTGAACATAGTATGTGTACCAGATTGGGGTTCAGGTTGTGCGCCATCTTGGTGCACATACTTCGGGAGCGCCGATTTTTTATGACATGTTGGCGTATTTATGTAAGAATCACTTCTTAAATTCTAATCCGCTGTTAACAATTAGTTAGGCTTTGTAAAAATAGAAAATATAACCGATAAATGGAAACAGGACATTGGTGTAGAGTAGGGTAAGTACGGACAAGAGACACAGATTTTTAGAGCCTTATTACGACTGACATCCAATATCTTCGCAGATGAAAGTATATTTCATTGTGACTCAAATTCCAAGAAACTTGGATAAGCCGAAGGCAAATAAACTTCTACTTTGGACAGCAATGCTAAGCTCCATTCAAATATTCAACATACCGAATCAAATATTAGAAATGGATGAGCTGCGTACCAAGGTAAATATTATTTATAGCATTCTCTATATCATCTCATTTCGCAAACATGAGCATGTCCAACTTAATAAATAACTCCGATGAGTTCAATGCATTATAATAGGATTGAGTTTTTTAAATATTCACCTTTACCCACTTATACTGACTATAAGTCGGGATCACAGAGTAGTAAACTGGTCATTTTATTCTCCAATTTTTTTCATTTGAGAATCGTAAAAACTATTTTCGAGCTAGCACGTGGGGAGCTGACAATATATAACAACCCCATATATTTAACAGTGTAACTGTATTGTTCCAGATCATTATGCAATACAACGGATTTATAGCATCGGAAAATATCAGGACAGTGGTAAGTTACCAGGGGCTGATATTATTTAGAATATTCTTACACATCCCATAGCACACTGTTGACAATTTTGGAATGATATGTTCCTCTCCATTTACTTAACAAACAGTCATGATTACCTTCTCAGTTCATTGTTTCATCTGAAGTTGTTGAAATTTCTATCAATATATATATAGATTTTTCTTCGCGACGTACTACGGGGAAACTACGAGATGAGAAAAGAGAATGTCGGCGAATCACAGGTGGATTGCTATACCCTACCTTCACCAGGACAAGACATATTCAGAGCAGGTTTGTAATCGAAGGTCCGAAGAGCATTAGCTTATCGATATTTTTACTATTTTTATAAGTGATTGAACAAAGTCGCAATCACTGATTGACCACCATAGTAATCTAACTTATAATTTAAGTATTTTTGTGGTACTAGGGTGGGGAGTGTCACCTATAACGCCAGGCGTCCATTGAAGTTCTGCCCCTTCTATTTATCTCCTCAAAACACTGTGGTTATTTGAAAAGACTACATATGCTTCTTCTAAAATAGCTACGTCTTTTCAGTAAAAACCATTTGTCTAAAATTTGTATTTTTTTAAACGACCACGACCCCTCGAAGACCAATTCTCTTCTCAGGTCTTCCTAGTAATACCCTTTTCTCTAATTATACATGCAATTGGTTCTTACAGGAACATATGCTTGACTATATTCAGTGTTATATTTCATTACGTAATAGCAAATTCCCTTTGGGTTCTTACCAATTTTGGGCGCTCCCGAAGTATGTGCACCAAGATGACGCACAACCTGAACCCTAACCTGGTGCATATATTATGTTCAGGTTGTGCGCCTTCTTGGTGCACATACTTCTGAAGATCCCAATTTAGATAAGAAATGTTAAGATTTAAAAGCTCTTGACAAACGCATCTTCACGAGACTTTTGTATACCTAACAATTCGAAATGATCAGAACATTTGTGAAAACCCTTTATTCCTCATATCACAACTAGTTCCAAGAGCCGCGATGGAGTTCAAAAGAGCATTGCTTGATCATTTGAGAAGAGTTGTTACGTCTTTGGAAGCAAGGACAATGTTCGGACAACTGGTATCGGGTTCTCAACTGCTTGTTTACTTGAGGGAACTCGATATGAAGAATATACGTGAGGTAAATCCAAGTAGGCTGTAGATATATATATATCATTGCCGAGAGATTCCTTCATTCGGGAAAGAAGATTAAATGACTATGCCATTTGAGTACATATCTTTGGATTAAATTATTCATTTTTAACTACAACCGCGCCATTTAATGCTCACGTGACATCAGAGTTATAGAAACCTATTCAACTAAAATAAACCACATTTTAGTCAAGAAATACGGCCTTCAAAATTCCCCCAAAAGGTAGGAAGAATCTGAAGTTATTGGCGATTTATTGGATTAGTTTGCTTGAAGCCTAAAAAAATTTATAAGACTGGCGCATGCAAATCAGTATAACTGGTAAGGTCGAGCTGAAGAATAATACCGACCATCGTCAAGCGAGCGTGAATATTTCCAACAATATATATCAACGAATTTGCAAAGCGATTCCCATGGACATGTGTTCATGATCAAATATTTAAATATCCATTCAGGCAAATTATATTGCACAATTTGTCTGCCGTCTGTTTCCTTATATAAAAACTTCATTATTTTTCTTTAAAAGATTCCTAGAATAGTTTTTGATAGTATAAATGAAATGTATTTTGCAGTCAATCAAAAGAGCAAGAGAAATCATCAGAGGAGTCTTGGACTTCAGACAACAGGTTAGTTCTTGAACCTACTTTGTCTCGTGATTTAGTCTATTTATTCCCATCAACGGAATTAATACTACAATTCTATGTCAACCCTTGCGTGTCGAAGGTTACAGCCATAGATAGTCACGAAACTTCGAACAGTGTATTTTTTGTTGAAACAGAGATGCCAGCCTTTTATAGTCGGAACACAGTGTTTCTTAACATGGGTTCGATCGAACCCCTGGGGTTCGGTGAAGCTGTTTCAGGGGTTCGACGAATGTCCTCTAAAACATTTGTATATCACTAAGTTATTTCTGTTATCTAACCTAATAATTATTTGAAAATAACTTCATTTCACAGCAGATATTCAAACTTCAACTCATAAAATATCTTAGCTATGTGTAGTTTCGCACAGATATACGTTTCTGTGGCCCTGACTATGATCGACCCCAGTACACTTCATCGAAATTGTCGCACGTTAGCGTTTTGATAACAGCTAAACTCAGGATAGTTGTCTATAGAAATCCTGTATATTTGTTTCCCTAGGATGTTCTCGATCTATCTATTCTGCGATATAGATAGAATTTAATATTCAAGTCTTCAGAAATGTAGAATATATATTGTTGAATAAATTGAATAGATTTTCCAACGTTTGTGAATTTATTGTATTGCATTGACAAAAGTATTTGTCCGGCCCGTTTCATCACAGTTTGAGTCATACCCGGCCAGCGGTCAAAAAAGTTCGGTGACCCCTGTTCTAGGGGTATTGTTTCAGCTTTCAAATCTCCAATGTGGCATTTTTTTTGCCCCATCCCTCTCCGCCCACACAAGTTATTCATACACCATAACGCAACAAGTCCCCTGCCACCTACGCCATTGTGAAACAACAATGGTTATTTCGACAAAGTGTATGTTTCCGAGGAGATTTTTGAGAAATATGTTAACTAAAAAATGCACTTAATCTTATGACTGGGTGGAGTTAATGGTTCTCTTGTTGCAATTTATGTTCCCGCTTATGAAGTTTTAGTTGCGCCCCTGGTTTCAACTGTTCAAAACGTCGGGGTTCGACGGAAGCTTGCAGAATAACATAGGGGTTCTACACGTTTGTAAAGGGTAAGAACCACTGGTTTAACAGATAAATGATCGTGTTCCACACAGAGAAGCTATTGAGAATGTTTTGAAAAATCTATCTGCCGAAGACAGAAAGAGAATAGAAGAATATATTACTATAGAAGTTAAAAGAATGCAGGAAGCCGGAGAGGTACAGAAACACAATAATATATATATAAAACGTAAGAGGTGTGACGCTTGTTTATTTAATTTCTACTGGATAAAACTGTCCAGAGTCTTCGCAAATTTGCGCTTCCCTAATAAATTTTGGTAGCGTTGGACTCTTGCTTCATATTCATTTTTTTTTCCGAAATAAGATTTTAAACTGCACTGATTTCTTAAATACACGAACACCAAAGCAGCAGGAAAGCAACGGGTTTCCAATAATTTAATTTACAATAGCGTATCTTTGAATGCCCGGATTTAGAGTCTATTGTACCTGAATGTATAATACTCAGAATAAAACGCTTGGTTAGTTGTCCATCTACCTGCTTCAAACCTACAAAGTAGCATTATTAATTTTACATTGTTATTTATATCATATTTTATGTTCAACGATTTGTATTTGATCGAAACTAACAAAGCTTATACTTTTTCAGAGCCAACGTGGACCAGGTATGGGATAAAATATTATTGTTGGTCACCACTATATTCGAATAAATTTCGAGTACGACACGTATAATATATATTATTCAATATTTTATTGATACCTACTAGAACTAGACCATATAAATATCAACGGTGGGCAAACCGCGGCTCGCTTCTGCATTGATTATTATTCAAATTTAACTAAGAGAAACTACAGTAACATTTTTTTTAATTCATTGAGCGGTGTAAAATGAGAAGTTTTCATCAATAATTAAGTCAAATTATGTTTTCGTGTGAGAGTGGTTGTAGCGTGGAATTTCAAATTCAAATCAGTCAAGCGACAAATTTCAAGTCACAATGATTGAATGTGTTGGCGGTATGTAGTGATAGGATTCCCATACAATTTTTATCTCGGGGGAGAGGAATGCTAATATGACGTCTTAAAATCATATGACGAGCAGCGGCCTCTCGTCCTGTTACAAGTCTATGTCGGGTATGGGATTAATTAGTCAGTTAATGGATCTCCGCTCCTAGGAGACCCTTATTATCAGTCGTTCTGTCTGTCTGTTTAGATGTAGCGTCTTAATGGCTGGACCAATCTGGATGAAATTTTTCACGTTGGTAATCCTGTCACCCTAGTAATGTGCGTTTTATAGAAAGTCCAGATAAATGTTTTGTTTCTATGGTAACAACGTAAAACGCGCCGATCGTTATGAAATTTCTATTTTTTTTCACAATTTATCGCCGTTTTCTCGCCAACCAAGTCGAAAATTAAAATTCCAAAAGCGCTACCTTCCGCATGGCGAAGTACTCTTTCCAATAAGTCGTCTTTGGTCTCGATACTCCATAAACTGGGAAAGCATCAGGGATTTTAGTGAACATTATTTTCCTTATTTTCAGTCACATTATATCAGTCACGCGAGTATGTCAACGGAACGCGCAGCGTTCAAAATAAACTCAACGGAACGCGCAGAGTCCATAATCAACTACCATTTTTGATACCCAGCTATTTTTCTTAATCGCATGGTAACCGGTTGCTTGAGTGCGGGACTGGTAACTGGTTATTGCATGTCGTTAGAGGACACTGTGGCACGCTGTCGTTAAAGGTCAGCAATTTTTCTTGGATGGTGAAAGATTGCTGGGGTGTAATCCGACATTATTCAGTAACTTCAAGAAGTTGCCCGTCAAAACATATACGGAGAATTGCCAGTTCAGATCGCACATCAAGAATTTAGGGAGGATTGGATAGGAGCAGTGGTGGGATTCATCCGGTTTGCACCGGTTCTATAAAACCGTCTCACATAATTTTATGAGATCAGCAAACCGGTTGGCATTACTGGTTACTGTCAATGTTCTGTTTGTAACAAAACCGACTGAAAAATATGACTTTTGTGAAGGGACCCGCTGACAAGAAATTTGAATCCCACCACTGGATAGGAGCCGGTGCAGGTGTTCTTGATATACGGAAGTATTATTTGCTTGGGATTTGATGTACTTCTCGCTGTTAGTGGGGGGTTCACCTAAACGCTGGCTAATGAATTGGATCTTCGCGATATACTGTATGCCCCGGGCCTGGTTATCAGCGGAGATCCTGGACGCCTACCGACTTGTATATATATGTTTCAGATACATGTACTCGAAACCTATTTGTTTTCAGATGCATAACCAGAAATTTATGATATCATTTGCCAAGCCATCCGATGCAACAACTGAATAGTTTTGTTATTTCATGAAATACTCTTACTGTGATTTTGTTGGAGAAAAAATATTGCTGAAGTTGTCGCGGTCTCGTTCCCCAACAGCACGAAACGACTAATGGCCCAACGCCGATTTCCCGTTACACTACACGAGGGCGATTTAATGAGCTCTAATATTAAAAATTTCAAAAATTATACGGTTCTCACATATTTTTGACTTGCTGCATGCGGCTCTTATACTAAAATATTTTGCCCACCCCTGCCATATATATTCAATTGTTTGATGGGAAAGTTCGGTTAGGCCCTGTCATTTCTAAGTAATTTTATAATATCATGCATGGCATTCTGATATTTCGGACTTAAACCTGTATAATATTTGTTGCAGTGGTAACTGTAATAGCAGAAAACATCCAATCTGTGACCGTGGGCCATCACGCAGCGAATGACAAAAAGAATAATGAACAGAAATAAAGAACGCTTGATACTAGCTAGAGGTGCATGGAAACCACTGCACACCACCTCGGAGTTTCATTCTTTATATATATACAATTGCAGAAGCTTATTCAGATGGGCGTTTTGAAACATCACTGGATATAGTTCAAAATAGTCTCAGGAGTAGTATATAAATATATTATATATATAATAAATAATTTGCGTTGAATACCCTAACATTTGAATAATCTGTTAAACACTTCCAGTCGGTTGCTTATCTAATAAGGACTGGGATAATGATGATAACCACTGGAAATTTGTCATTCAACGTGGGCTCAGATGTCTAATTTTTCACTTCAAATATTATTTTTTCATTTTCCTAAACCTAAGTGCTGCAGTGGACAACACGTTATGTCGGCTTATTGTCCATTACAATCTTCGTGTCGTAAACCAATCAAGTCTATCAAATCTGCTGTGCTCAAATATATGGACACGTAGAGCCACATAATTTTGAAGACGTTATAGCGAAAAAAAGTAATAGCCTTCTGGAGAAAAATTCTATCTTTAACCACTGAAAATTTCAAAGCAATTGGTCCAGTCATTAAAGAGAAAAGCGATTTCTTCAAAACGTGTCAAAGAACAACAAACAACAAGACTAAGAACAACATAACAACAAAACGATCAGTATGTCCACTACGTGTCCAATAATGCTCACATAGTGTTAGTAGAACAATTATCCTTTACTATTTTATCACAAATTATTAATCTGTAATGGTTAGTATGTGTCTCTGATATTGTCCTCTTGTGATATGCATCAGAATGTTGCCAATCTGAAGAAAGAACGAATAATTTGTAGACGTATTTGTGTTCTTCACATTGCATATTGGAAGTGTTTGTCTGTTTTACAAGCTACTTTGTTTAGTTTTAAAATTCAAGTGTTGCATAATAAATAAGGCATTGATTGATTATGTTCTAATCAATTCATTCACAATTATTTTGTAGCACGCATTTTACTTGTTTTACTGCTATTATTCATTTGATTTGTACGTTAACATTTTTTATGTGTAGCAATAGCAGGTGTAGAAAAATAAAAACATAGTTTCTTTCCCGATGCAAATTGTGGCAATTTCGTGCTCTTTAGTACTGGGATATTCCAATGTAAAAAGAAACATAAAAATGAGGAATTAATAACATAACAAAAAAATACCTCGAACCAGTTTCAACGGCGCCTGTTGTGTATTTTAAAACATGGAGAATACAGTTTTGTACATGCGCGAAATACGATATATACATACAGTATCTGAGTCTGGGCAAGTTCGATAGAGCATATTATTACGTAACAATTGCAAGTTTCGCTGCCGACACGGTTTAGGAATGAACAAGCTGAATATCTTGTGTCCTTGTTGATAAACAACGCTACAATACCTTCTGCAGTATGCGGAAGTTATTATCTCACTCCAAGAGTAGTGTAATACATTTTATTCGCAATGGTAGCAGTGATATCGAATGACCAATTTTTTCTAATTCCAAGCGAGAGAAAATCAGACTTGGAGAAAATTGTAAATTAGATACTGAAGTTTTGTCAGTCACGAAACATTTATAGTTTAATCTTCTTGGAGCCTAAAAAAATTTATAAACGAGGCTGGCGAAATGACTTGCCGGGTTAGGTTTCACTGAAGAATACCTGCGCGAAGAGGTTGTGAATATCACCAACAACAGCAACGATTTTGCTAAGCGATTTACATGGACATTTCGTGTTCAATAATCTAGTAATTAAATGTCACATTGCTCAGTTTGTCCATCGCCTGTTTTAAGGTAGAAATAGTTTTGCTTAACGAGCATATTCCAATAATTTTTAATCCTAATATTTTACTGAAATTTATGAATCTTATTGTTTTCTTTAAGAGATTCCTTGAATAGTTTTTGTTAGTATAAATGAAATATATTTTTGCAGTCAATCAGAAGAGCAAGAGAAATCATCAGAGGAATCTTGGACTTCAGGCAACAGGTTTGTTCATAACTTTTTCCTTGTGATTTTATAGCATACTCTATGTACTCACTCCTTCGCATGTGGAAGGTTACAGACAAAAACACGAAACCTTGAAGAGTGGAGTATTTTTGTTGAAACAGATGATGCAACAGCCTTTTATTGTCGGAAAAAATTATTAATTCAAATTGTTCTCAGCTTTTCAAAATGGTTCGTTCAACAGATAACTGATAGTGTTTCACGCAGACAAGCTTTTGAGAAGGTTTTGAAGAATCCATCTGCAGAAGACAGAAAGAGAATAGAAGAATATATTGCTATAGAAATTCAAAGAATGCAGGGAGTCGGAGAGGTACAAAAACACAATAATATACGTGTGACGCTTATTTAATGTCTATGTGATAAAACTGTTTTCGCAAATTTTTGTTTTCCTAATTTGCCGGATTGGTATGCGTGTGGCCTTTTGTACCTAAATATAGAATTCTCAGAATAAAAAGCTTGACTGGTTATCAATTTAGCTACATTGACCCTAGAAAGTCGCTTTATGAATTTTACTTGAGTTTTATATAGTTATGTGCGATATGTATTTCGTCGAAATTAACAAAGCTTATAACTTTTCAGGGCCACGGTGGACTAGGTATGGGATAAAATATTACTTGTTGGACACCACCATCTCCAAATAATTCTGGAGTACGACACGTGTAATATATTATATTACTGAATATTTTATTAATAACTTCTATACTTGACATATTCGAATTTTTGATGGTATTCTGACCTAAACCTGTGTATTATTTGTTGCAGCGGTACCCGTGATACCAGAGATCCAATCCCTGACCGTGGGTCATCACGCAGGGGATGACGAAAAGAATAATGAATAAAGTACTTTTGATACTGAGGTGCTCTTCACACTACCTCAAATTTCCTTCCGATTACATAAGCTTATTCATTAAGCATTCTAAAACATCGATGGGTACCATTCATCCTCAATAGCCTTATATATTATATTAAATAAATAACGTGCAAAAATCAAATATTTTGCACTGAAGAGAATGTGAGCGCTTGTTTTTGCGAGCTGTCTGGTATTTTTGTTTGTTTATTACGTGCGGAAGACGATTTCTAGCTAGCTCGTTTAAAATTCTTTTCGTTTAAGTAATAACAGATTCTTTGTATATTTCTAAGCTTTCGAATACTTATGCACATAAAACCTATCATATAGTAGAATAGAAAATATGGGAAAAAAACATGATGCGCTTACCGCGCTTACGAATACTCGAATCAAGCATGGATCATGGACACGACGCAAAAGTAATTCATTGCTTTTGTTTACAACAGACGTCCACGATAAGACGTATACGTACAACTCTTCAATACGATATCAACTCTTGCCAACCATTCAAATTAGAACCATATATAAATGCAACATAATTAGAATCCCGACTACATCTAGTTCACTTTCAGTCGCATTGCTTATCCAATTATGACTGGGATAATGTTGGTCATCACTGAAAGTTTGTCATTCAATGTGGGCTTAGACGTCTAATTTTTCACCTCAAATATCTTCATATATATCATAAACCAATCAAGCCTATGAAATCTAATTTACTAATAACGCTCACATAGTGTTGGTAAAACAAATAGCCTTTACTATTTTAACACAAATTATTAATCTGTATTTGTTTTCAATCTCTTAGAATGGCTAGTATGCGTCTCTGATATTGTCCTTTTGTGATGTGCATCAGTATGTGGCCAATCTGAAAAAAAGAACAAATAATTTGTACTTGGCATATCGGAAGTGTTTGACTGTTCTACAAGCACTGGTTTTGAAATGCAAATGTTCCATAATACATATGACAGTGGTTGATTATGTTTCAATCAATTTACTCACAATTATTTTGTATATAGCATTTCACTTGTTTTACTGCCAATATTCTATTTGATTTGTATGTTAACATATTTATGTGTAGCAATAGCAGGTGTAGAAAAATAAAAACATAGTTTCGTTCCTGATGCACTTTCGTGTTCTTAAGTACAGGGATATTCCAATGTATCAAAAACGTTCGTGATGCACTTTCGTGTTCTTAAGTACAGGGATACTCCAATGTATCAGAAACACAAAAATCAGGAATATATAATTTCGGTTACCTTCATCAGTATTTGAAACAACTATTGTTGCCATATTTTGCCTTGCTGTGATTTCTGATGTCTGGAACAAATTTAACATCATGGTTTAAGAGATTACTTAATTAAAACAAAAACATATCGAAAAAGGATGTTATAAGGGTCAAGGTTGGAAGTAAAACTATCTCATGCAAAAAAAATCTCTGGGCTATCATCCAAAGGAGGGCTCTATGTTCAGACGATGACGGCCTCATTGCCTCTCTTTTCATTGAGTTTTGATATCAATACAATACAATGGCATCAAAGTTACGCATGCTAACACGCTAGACTTGCCAAACTAAGTACTGTAATTTACATTAGCATAGTATTAGCATGAAGCAGCTCGAGAGATGGAGATTTCCAGAAATTCAGTTCAAGTTTTGCAATATATACAATTATCCCAGTTTTTTCTGCACTTTTAGTTAAGTAGGATAGAAAAAAGTGAAATTTATTTTTATTGAATCATAATAGACTTCCCATCACTTTCGAGCGAGTGGCATTTTGAGTATATTAGAGCAAGTTTAATACATGTTGAGTTGATCACAGGTTCACTGCTATAATATAAAAAATGTTTAAAGTCAAAATACAACTATATGTAAAAGCCTTAAACAAGCTTACTCAGTTGACAAATTAATTGCAGCAGTAAATATTGTTGAAAGACAATTAGATTTAAAAAAAAAATTATAACTATCACTTTTAACATTGGCAAACCTCATTTGGTCCAGCATCGTTGATGACATCTATTCCCACAACATTGGCCACATCATTTCCATTGTTCGAAACATTGATTCGATCAGTCAGATCAGAATCATCCAACTGAAGTGTTAATTTATTTGACAGGGGCTGCAAAATGTCTTCATTTCTTTTCACGTCAATGCCCAAATGGTTTTCTTCAGTTGGTATGACTTCTACAATCCCAACATTATCTTCCGGGGATTCATTTTCAGTTTTTGTCACATTTTGATTATCCAAAGAAATTTCAATATTGCTATCTAACGTAGCTCCTTGAGTTTGAAGCATCTGTAATATGAATTTAAATTTTTCTAATAAACACACAGATGAAAAATGAAATAACTTATCCAATCAAAGCATTATTTCAGTTTCAGACTGGGATGGAGTGAGTGATATCAATAACATGAAAAATCATAAGATATAAAAAAAAAATTAGCTACCAGAATCACATATTATGAACATGTATGCTATATATAAACTAAAACACATGGAAAAAAATGAATTCCATTGCTAGAAAAAGACCGCAAACAGCTAACATAAATATAAAGTACTTTTATGATAATTAAAATTTCAAAAAACAGAAGACTATCAGCAAATTTGTGCTTTTAATGGGACGTAGCTCTAATCAATTCAGTCCATGGGTGCACCACTGAAAGGTAAATCT